TGGAACGTTACGGTCAATGCTATAACTGGACATCTTACAGTCAAGGCTATAACTGGACACATTACAGTGAAGGCTATAACTGGACACGTTACGGCTAAGGGTATAACTGGATCCGTTACGGTCAAGGATATAACTGGACACGTTACTTCTTAATCTTAAACGCTTTTTGTATAATGTTAGGAAATCGTTGATTCTATCAGTCATTAGTCATACACACCACGCTAGGTACGAAAGTTATATTTCTGTACTTACCAGTTAGAAAATTTCAACAGAAACTGAAACGGCTTTGTGTCAGTGGGCCATTTATAGGCCTAGTCTTATATCAACACTGTCCACATTCTATTTCCGAAACCGGGCTGACATCCTACTTAGGAACACTCTATCCCCACACCTTCTACCACCCCACCACCCCCCAAACCAACAAACAATTTCTGTATTCTTCATGATGTTCAAAAAAAAAAAAAATCAGTTCTAGAAAAAAAAACAACACAACTTAAAACAGAATTTGAGAAATAAAACGAAAAGGTCACCTAGCACCCCCCACCCACTTACCCTCCCCCCTGCTCTCACGTCCGTAAATCAAGACCCCCTCAAATTGTGGAGTAGGGAGAAGTGGGTAAAGTAAATCTTCTTCTTCTTTGCCCCTTTTTTTCCAACTCCAATTAACACAAAACCTTTCAACGCCGCCCCCCCTCCCCCACACCCCCCGGGGGTCACTTGCAATCTGCTCTGACTCTTTACAAATCGTTCTGTAAAGTAAACAGAGTGACTCATATTTTCTGATTTGGGTCTCAAATCGGGTTGGTCGTGACACAAAATCCTATTGACCAGAATCCCTGGAAAACAGCCCAACATCAAGATGTTCTCTCCATATCAACGTCCCCTTTCTGCTCTGTAAATGTCAGACCGACGTCTCCCTACTATTCTCTCTACGTCAGACCGATGCCCCCCCCCCCCCCCCCCTTCCACACCGAGGTCCACCCTTGTCAGACTGACACCCCTCCATGTCAGACCGACGTCCCCCCGGCACCCACAAAATGTAGACACATAAAATACAACGCGTAGTGCCTTTACAGGAAGAAGGTTTTCTTTGCTGGTTTGTTTTTTGGTTGCTTTTTGTTTTTTTCTTTGAGGGGGTGGGGGGCAAGGGAGGTTGGTTGAGGGGGGGTATTAAGTGAAAATCGGATTGTTTTGAGATTCTTAAGCTAATCATGATTAATTTGAAAAAGCCAAAGGTTGAGGTTTGCTGATGCACTTCAGGCTTTGACACACTACCATTGCCTCCAAAGTAAGAGAGTGATGGGGAGAAAATCTTCCATTTGCATGCATAATATATTGTGTTTATAGATGAAATTAGCCTGTAAAAAGGTTGTTGGGGGGGGGGGGTTATAATTGTCACGGCACTGGTAGCTTTATATTTGCATCATGTTTAAACCAGAATTTAACGTGAAGTTTTATGTGAAATCCAATTCAAACAGGCACGCATAGCGTTGTCCATATCAAGTGCGTGCGTGGGGATTCTAACTGAATGAAGTCCCCTTTGTCAGGGAGTGCTCCTTTTCTTTGAGTAATGTTAGGTCGCAAGGGGAGGAGGGGGGGAGACCAGAGTGAGTTATGATCTTAAGTTGGATCGGGTGTTCAAATTGGTGACGTAAGCCAGTTAGTAGATCTCTTTTAACTTGTGTATTGAGTAACGACCACAAAATAAATGACGCGGAAAGCACGTGGTGTGCGTTATGAATGTGGTTTTACGCAAGGGACTTTAGTGTTCGTGTGGTAGGTGCCTCTTCGAGTCGCCGATAAATCAAGTCTATTCTCCATGATCTTCAAGCGTGTCAGTTTATGAACTTCAACCAGAGCCGTGGCGTGAGTGGATAATGAAGTGGCAACGAAAAGTCGTCAGGGGCCTTCAAAAGTTAGGCGAGATTTCTGATTTCTTGTAACGTTAAAAACAAATACAAAAAAAATTACAATAAAACAATTTCAAGCTATTACACTCAAAGGAAAAAGTCTTATAGAGAGCTACATATGGAGATAACGGTCGCACAAAGAATGTACAAACACAGAACACAATTGATCTTGAAAATTGTTATTAAAGCCTTTATTTTTGTATAGAAAAGAAACATACAAGTTGTCGGTTGAATTTATTTTATTTATCTATTTATTTTGTACTCAGGGGCGTAGAAAGGAGGATTCGTAAAGGCACTCCGCCCCGAGTAAAAGACTTTTTTTTTTTTTTTACTTTATAGTCCATGGGGGGAGGAGATACTTTTGGCCAACTACATAGTTGTTTTTTTTGTATGCCTAGCCCCAGTCCACACTAACTCTAGTTACAAACTGATCATACTAGCGTCTCTTTATAAGCCTGGGCCATGCATTAAAAGCATTTATCATTGCAGAAAAGCGACTTAAATGATTTAAAAAAACAAAAAATATCCCTATTTTCAAAAGTCATCTCATGGTTATAGCCTAAATGACTTTACTAGTTCCATGTTGAGTCATTAGTTATAAAAAAAAATAATTGTGGTTTCGTCATTTTCAGAGTCTGGCCGGACAACGGGACAGCGTACACCGTAAAAATAACAAAGTCTGATTGCATAAGGTAAAGGTTAATGATTTATATACTATATAATTTATATAACAAATATATATATATATATATATATATATATATATTTATGTATATGTATATATATAAAATTATATGTAACAC